GAAGAGAGGGCCGTGGTTGGATAATTAGGTCCCGGGTGAGCGTGTGTGGAATCTAGTACGCGTGGGAATGCCAGGGCGTGCACGAGAGAAGATACGGGTCGTGACAGTACCCCCTCCCTCTGGGACGGCTCCTATGGGACGATGTTTAAAAGATTTATCAATGAGGTCTCGGTCCAGGATGTCCTTTTCCGGGAATCCAGGAGCGTTGTGACGCTTAACCTAAGTCCATTTGTCTGGCCCGGTGATGAACCTTTAGGGGTTCTAAGCACTTATATTGTTTCTCGCCTATCTCAGGCGCGAGAGAGTCGGGTGTTTTAACCTCTCTGCGTGGTTTGTAGGGCAGATTCAACTCTCCGGTCTGGGCTTTAGAAGAAATTGCATACGGCCTTCGGTTTGGCAGCTTCCAGTCAAAGTTTGCAAATAAATGGGAAAACCGCCTTCAAAAGGATGAAACTGTCCCAGTTATTAAACCCTGGATGAAACGGTCCTGTGATTATTAACACACATCTCCAGTCCAGAACAGGGCGGGCCTACGTTGTCTTACCCAGTGCCGGAGTGAGAGGAAGGAAGAGAACGAAGATATGGTAATATCTTAATATAATCCGTAATATGATAGGTAATCTTTACACGAGGCTAGTGGTGTTTCTGTTTCCCTCCTTAAAAGATCCAAGGGGTGATCAAGTTGCTTTTTGATTGTGCCTGTGTTGTCGGCAGCTTTAGCCAAACAATCTGGAATGCGCCCAGAGGCCCAGACTGCCCGGTTGTGACGCTACGAGCTCGGGGCAAAACTGAGTCACCGGGCGGGAGACAAAATCCATTGAGCGCACCAGCTGGAAGAGAAGACCTTCTTGTCAGGCCTGGCTTTTGTTTTCCTTCACTGGTGTGCATTAGATTTGTTTAAAGCGACTCAACAACTGTTTGAAGAGAAAACAAACATTATGATGTTTTACCACAGGATATTTACCACAGACGTTTTCCTGATGCGAAGGAAAAAAAAACCCCAACACATTTTGTAGAAAAGCATTCGAGATTGCGTCAAGGCCAAGATTTTTACCAGAAATACAATTTTAATCTAATTGTTTGTTGCCGGTGTCGGGTGAATAAGAGACGGCCGAAGTTTGCGCGTGGGGGGTGGGGGGGGGTAGTCACCTTTAAAAGCGCATGGTTGTCATGGCAACTCGTGTTTGGCAAAATAGCGGGGGAAGGAGAGAGAGAGATAAACACCTTCAAGAGGAGTTTGAAAGAAGTGATTAAAGTTGAGCATATTTCCGTAGCAACCCCACATTGACTCATTCCTCTCTCGAATGCGGTGCGCTCTTCCGCCCTCCACGTTGTCGGATGACAATTAGCGCTTAATTTAATGTTCCTTTAATTCCCCGTTAATGGCTAGTAGGCCTACGAAGGCTGTGTCTAATGGGGCGAACTTGATTCTCCGGGTTATTTCCTGCAATTAACGAAACCGCGTTCGATGGAGCACGGACGCACAAAACCCACATTTTAACAATTAAATCTTTCCTTTTATTGTTTCCTTGTTAATTACATGGAGTTACGCGGGGAGGAGAGCGACGAAGTCTGCGAGCGGAACTAAATTGTTCTGGTTAAAAAGAAAACTCCACTAACGACTCGCCGGTGACACCTAGTGGACAGCACCCACAGATCACCCTACACCAAGCCACAGCGGGGAAGAGGAGGGCGGGACCTTTTCCTAACGAAAGTTCAGTTTTTGCCAGGGTTAAAATGGAAAGAAGTTGAGGAGGGCAACGTGAAAAATTGGTAAAGCATTAAGAGTTTCGAACCAGGGAAAAATAAAACTGTAGGCAGTATGCATGCGGCGAAATACAGCGTCCTATATAAACGTAGTTATGCACGCGCGACGAAACCCGTTTCCGTTTCCTGCTTTCTAACGTTGTCAACGACGTCACCGCATCTCCCCGCAACCCCACATCTCCACCCAATCGCCACGTCTTTGGCTTGGAGTATGATTTATGAAGGAACAAGTAATAGGTTTATTCCATGCTGGAAAAAATAAGAAAGAAAACAGCGTTTCGGCCGTGGAGCCTTCTTCAGGTGTGAGCAAGAAGGCTCCACGGCCGAAACGTTGTGTTTTCTTTCTTCTTTTTTTCAGCCTGGAATAAACCTATTACTTGTTCCTTTGCAGCCTACGCATGCTGACGCAGCTCCCCTCCTGACCTACATATGATTTATGAAGCCGAACAACAGATACAGTGGCCCGGCCTCATGGTCACATATGGTCAGAAAACCTTGAACATGTGAAAAATAATCCGAATCAGATGCTTTTGCTCGTCGGCACAAAGCACACGCTTTCTTCAGAGGTGCAGAACGAACGCTTGTTTGGAGCGAGAACTGACCGATACTGTACCGCTCTGCACACAACCCAGCTGGGGTCCTTCGTGGGCGTCGCTGCCCCTTCCGGCTGTTTCCTTAGCCCGAGTGGGGACAGAGAATAAAGCGCTCCTCCACTCACTCACTCTCGCTTAATATTGCAGCGGTCTTCCCGGAATTTCCCTCGGCGGAATGTACAAAAAGATGAGGGGGAGACGGGAGTGCAGCTCATTTATTGCCTTTGATAAAACAGGGGGGCGGAAAAGCTGAGAAGGCAGCGAAGCCGGCCACTCTATCAGGTTCTTGGCGGGAGAGAGATCACGGGGAGAAGCCAGCCCCGCCCCGCCCCGTCTATACGGAAGAGAAGAGGGGAAATGCGTCTGCTGGAAATGGCGGGCTAGGGGCTTAAATCCTCTGACTTAATCCGGCCCGCTTCCGGATTTTCTTAGGTTTGGGGGACTGAGCCAAATACTTTTCGTAGCGCCTGTAGTTCCCTACGCAGGAAACAATGTGTGTACCGCCGGCATCTTTATGTTCTCCGTTGAAGAGCTTCGCAGTATAGAACTGTCGTGCATTTGGGTTCCCTCGTCCTTTATGACGTCATTGTACAGGCCCTGCGGCTGCGGGGTTTCCATCAGTAACGGCTCTTAGCTGTACGCTAAGGAACGAGCCGGACAAGAGCTGTCGGGCAGCCCCTGGGTTCACGAACGGAAACCCCCCCCCCTCCCCGTCCTCCCCCGGGGTCTTGCGGTATTCTGTGCGCGTGTGCGTTGTCGCCAGACCCGCCGGGGGCACGAGGCCTGTCCCAGTTCGGAGAGCGAATCAGCCCCAGTGGGCGCCAACTGGCAAAAGGCAGCCAGTGCTGGAAAATGGAGGTGGCGTGAAAACTCTACCGCGCTGTTGCACTACCTGAAGGAGGTGATCACTGTAATAACCGTGACGAAGCCTAGTAATTACGGCGACCAGCTCCTTCATCACCGAAGCGGAGCGTTTCATGGCAATTTCTGTTTCTATAAGCACTGCGCAAATGGTGTTGACATATGGGGTGGGCTGGGGGCGGCTGTTATCACCCCAAGGCTGGTTGCATTCAGTCTCCGAGATGCGTCATCCTTTCGGGACGATCAACGATGTGTCAGGAAGCGCCAGGCCATGAATATAAAGCGCTGCTGAATCATCCCGGCAGCAGGACTTTATTATAAACCCGGCCGCTTGGACTATTAAACCCCATTATGTGGAAAACCTGCGGAGTCAGTAGCTTATCTCGCTTCATTGAGCCCCTCTGGCAGATGTGACTAAAACTAAAACATTTTTTTTTTTGGTGTCATTATGCCGGGTGCTATGACTCATACGCCGCTGCGCCTTTCGCAACCCACACACGCGCCGGCTATTTGTTGCCACCTGGTGGTCAAGAGCGGGACTGTTCGACCAGGTTGTATCGTTCGCCTCTCTGCGTACTTTTAATTGCTTACGGTAATTTAAGTATTTCTTAAATGAATCCGTTTGCCGAGTTAAACCTTTTAAATCTGTTTCCGATATTATAGCTCGGAATGGCTTGGCATATTTTCAAACCTGATACCATCTCTTCCCCTGGATGGATGGCATCCTCAATTCAATTAGCTGCTACAACCCAATCAGGCTAGATGTCTGAGAGGCTTCTTCTCTTCTGAAAACTTAATGTTCAGCCATTTTGATCGACTGTTTCACATAAGCGGAGTATGAGGTTCATGACTGATTGGATACCTTCCTTTAGTTTCTGCCTTAAAAATGCTTTAGGAAGGTCAGGTACTGAGCCCAGCAGTTCCACATATAAGAGATAATGCCTCGTATTTAATACTGTCTTTAGTCCACGGCCCCCAGCTAAATTCCCTGGGGATGACTGTCGGCTGTGGTTTTGGCTCCAGACGATGTCCTAATCACAGGCTAATTCATTGATTTCGGATTTCTGTCTGAGGCGTGTTGTTACATTTTCTCTCGAACCGGATTCGTGGGTGATGTCAAGCCTGTACCGCTTGCTTGAGTTTTGAAGCAGCCCCCCCTGCAGGCGTGTCGCTAACTGCCAAGCGCAGAGAAGGAGAGAGCCCTCAGCTCTTTGCACTCGTTCAGCATGCATTGCTTTTCCCACCCGCCTCAGTTCGTCCTAGAATCGGCCGCCTTCAGGAGCTGCATGGCTATGAATAAGGGAGAAAAGCTTTAGGAGGGGGGCTTAGGGCTCTGTGTGCGGAGGCTGCTGGAAACTGTACACTGACGTTGGGCCTGCGTATGCAGAAACAAGATAACCAAAAGCCTCAATGAGCAAGCAGGTGGATTAAAGGCTTCTCTCAGCATCACTGATTCAGAACACGACTGGGACAAAAGCTGGTGGAGATGGGTATCCCAAAGGCACGGGTTTTTGGGAACTACTGGCTGAATGCGTATCCATATAGGACAAGGCGACAACCTGAAACTCTGCCGATGGGCACGTCATCCTCATATCCCTGCTTGACGAAGCCGTTTACATGGGCTGCCTCAACAGCTGTGTGTTCACAACAGTGCCATTGGGAGCTCCTGTCCCCGATCAGCAAATGCCTGCCTGCTTCATCGGAAAAACACTGATGAATCATAAGATTTGTGGGTGCTCGAACTGCAATATACCCATGTATTCAGACATCCAGTCTATCAAGAGTGAGTGTCATAAACTTTATTGTAAAATAATAAAAACGGCTGTAAAACGCGTTACAATTTACAGCTGTACTATGATGAACAGGATTTGGCTATTAGTTATGTTAATGATTTCAACCTTGCGCAGCATTGTATACGTCCCATACTATCCATTTATTGATCAGTGAGAAATGCAATCTTTTTTTAAGGGTCAGCATCCCTACAGTGTGGGTGTGTATGTAATGGCGGGTATGTAGAAAGTGGTTAATGTCACATGTGATTTTTGGAAACACCACTTGGCGCAACATAACAGCCACACACACTTGGTGTCGCGTTTCCCCCAGTGAAAATCAAACTAAATTGGACAGCAGGAGACAGGCAACCTTCAGGCCTCAATTGCTATTTTGTTTTTGGTTTCCATTCCATCTCAGACATTAAGGCCTTAATTGAATTTAATTAGAGGATAAGCGGATGAATCAGCTGTGTTTTCCTGGTCTGGATCGTCTGCAAACCCGAAAGACATCTGGAGAACCTTCAGGAACTGGAGGACTGGAGTTGCCTACCCCTGCCTCACGTGTCTGAAGCAGGATCTTTTCTTTTAGAAGAAGCTCAGTAAGGAGTTATGCAAGGAAATTGGTCAGAATGCCAGCATCTCTAAAACATCAGGCTGGCTCTGAGCACGCTGGGCCTGTCTCCTCTTACAGATCCCTCTCCAGGGCCACCTGCTTCCAAAGGGGCCGGAACCTCCCAACTCCTGCCGAGTTTTGGCAGAAGCGTTCCATCGGTTCCCACAGCGTCGGGTGCATGTAGATGTTCAGGATGACGAGCCCCCTAAGAGCCCCCCTCACCCTCTCCAGCTGGGACGTCAGCAGCCTCTGAGCCACCTGGAGGTCGGTCCCATACAGGTCAATATTGAGGCGCAGGGACCCACCCCCATAAGGGATGGGGTAAGGTGCTGTGCAGATGCTCAGTCCAGTGGGACACACCTTCCTGTCCACCAGGCAGGTCAGGCTCCTGCCCGCGAGGACATCCAGGTTACTTGGCAGGGGTTCGAGGGGCTGCCAGTCCTGGATGATGAGCCCCCCCCGCAGCAGGTTCTGGGAGGCGTGGGGGCTCAGCAGCACGGCCCCCAGCTCGTTCCTTCCCTCCAGGGCGACGGGCTGGGGGACGGGCCCCCCTTCCCCGGCGGTCAGCTTGTCCTGTAAGTCGGCAACGAGCCCCTCGAAACAGCCTGCCGCGCCCTTCAGAGACAGCACCGCCTGCCGAGGGGGAGAGGGGGAAAGTTCAACTCTGGGGGAGATGTGTGGGGAACAGCGAGAGGAGAAAGAACGATGAGGGGCCAGGGTATGCATTCAGGCCAAATCAAGGGCATTCACTGCCTGGCAGTTCCGCGGTTTCTGGTGGTGCTCTGCAGGGACACATACAATAATAATAATTCCTTACACTTAGCGCTTTTCTGGACACTCCACTCAAAGTGCTTTACTGGTAATGGGGACTCCCCTCCACCACCACCAGTATGCAGCCCCACCTGGATGATGCACCAGTACTCTCCCCACACACCAGCTCTCAGTGGGGAGGAGAGCAGAGTGATGAAGCCAGTTCAGAGAGGGGGATTATTAGGAGGCCATGATTGGTAAAGGCCAGGGGGAAATTTGGCCAGGACAGTGGGTAAACAACCCAACTGTTTTGGAGAAAAGCCCTGGGATTTTTAATGACCACAGAGAGCCAGGACCTCAGTTTTCAGTCTCATCTGAAGGATGGTGCCTTTTATACAGTATAGTGTCCCCATTAGGGCCCACACAGAGTGCAGGGTGTGCACCCCCTGGTCCCACTAACACTTCTTACAGCAGCAAGCTTAGTTTCCCAGGAGGAGTTCCATCGAGGTACTGACCAGGCTCACACCTGCAGAGCTTCAGTGGGTTGGCAGTTGTGAATTGCAGGGTGATATACTTGTATGTTCTTAGACGACAGCGTGCGTCACTGTATGGAAGTGCATTAAAAAGTGAGACACGTCTTTACAACAAGGATTATGGGAATCAGGACAAAGCTGTGCAGCTATGTTGTTTTTCATTAAAGCTGGACGAGAGCCTCCGACCAATTAGCTAAATATAACCAAACAAGCTTGATGGCCTAAGAGCCTCCTCTTGTTTGTCACCTTTCTGATGAATTTCGGTTCAACAGGCTATTGGGAGACACAATAGTATTTGCAAAACTGATCCTTAAACTGAAAGAAATTAGCGTTTTAATTGTTGCACCTTTGCTGAGATTAATACTTTTGTCTAACGATCACGTGCATTTAAACTGATCATCTGTTCATTATTCCTGCCATAAACCAGACAGGGCAAACAGCTGCTCTTTGTCACTTGCCTGTTTGGGAAACGCACAGTAAAATCAGTTTTATATAATATGTGCCATCAAAAGCTAAATAGCGACTTGATCATATTACCAGCTTTAAAAATTCAAATTCAAACATGAATCGCGGGTCGATATAAACCACCAGCTCTAACCAAGCCCCGTCACATCAGAGCTCAAAGAACAACCACCTGTTTTACCCCTGACAGCCATCCCCGCCAATCCCAGCTTGTTACTCTACCTGCTGGGACAGCAGGCGGTATTTGGCCAGCTGCTCGGGTCCTGGGTCATCTCCTCGGGTCAGCCTTTTCACCCTGACCTGGGGGAAGTGCCGTCTGACGTACTGGTCAATGAACCTCTGCACGACCCCCGCCACCCCGCGCCCTCTCTCGCTCTGCGCCATCCGCAGCCCCTCCACAAGCACCGTCTTGCCGTCGTCAACCACAAAAGTGGATTCCAGGGCGATCTGTACAATAACCAAAGGTCAAGGGTCAATGGAATCTCCTAATGATCAGTACAACCAGGGGTTTGCATAAGCGGTACAAAGGTACTCCTGAGAGTCTGGACTTTGGGAAAATGTGTTGAGATGAAAGTTTGTCAATGTAACCCTCCATCAGCCATGTAACATGCAGAATGACATTAGACCAGAGAGCAAGATGACCTTGCATGAACTGGTGGGCTGATCACCACAGCAAGGTGATGCCGGAGGAAGATTGGAGTGAAGAGAGCAGCTGACAGTAGTAAGGACAGTAGTAAGGTGTCTGGAACAAGCTTGTTAGCCGGTTGTTTGAGGGTCAAAATTTACTCTCATTTAAGAAAATGACTGGATAATATTTCAGATTCAGATAGATACTAAACTACTAAACAGTGAGGAAGAGCTGAAGGACTTTTTTGGGGAAGCCTGCAGTTCTTGGAGCCCCTTGAACCACACAGAGCACAGGAGAAAGTCACACAACTCGGGGGGCACCAACAGCGGCTCAGGTGGGAAAAGTGCTCACCTGGAGCACGGGCCGCACCTCATAGTTGTGGCAGCACCTGTCTGTTTCAGGGCAGAGGGCCACTGGCAGTGGATGAGCTTGAGTTGGGCACAGCACGGCTTGCATAGTGACAGCACCCCCTGGGCTCCTACAAGCTCGCAGTGATGTTGCCTTCAGTCAGTCTAAAGCAGGAGCCCACTGCCGTCAACGAGGAGGGAGCATGCAGGGTGGTGCTCATGTCAAGTTTGATCTGTGTGGCAGTGTAGTTCGGTCCGAACCTAGCTTCCTTCATATTAAAGAAAGATCAAGGCCCTCTGTGTACAGAATCCTCACTTTGCGGACTGAAACAGCGTGTGGCCTTCTTCAGCCGCTGGGTATCTGAATTTACATGCTGTGTGGGTGTTTAAACCATTCTTCTACCAAGCGTGGCCCGTGGGTAAATAGATGTGTCCTTATCTGAAACGTGACATTTACAGTGATGACTCCACTGTAAATGCCTGGTTTATAAGACGCACTGTGAGGCATTTGAGCTGTGAAAGGAGACAGCGTGGTGTCTCTCTCTCTCCTCGCTCTCCAGGGGGGCTGCCTGTAATAATCTTATTTCAACGCTACACTGAGCCGTACTGGGGTGTCAGGCATCACGTTCCCTGGGATCTGTAGACCGCAGACTGGTGGCCTGCCTTCTGCTCTTCTTCCTCAGCCCCTGCCCTCGGTCCCCTGCTTCTCCTTACCAGCTTGCCCTGTCTCCTGGCGAGGAAGATGAGCCTGTTGGGCTCCTTCAGCCAGGCGTGGTAGCGGGCGGGGAGGTAGTCGCTGCCCTGGTAGATGCCCTCCGACATGGACATGACGTCATCGTAGTCCTCCGGGCCCGCCAGACTGAAGTCCAGCCCCTCGCTCGCCCCCAGTGTGGCTGCGGCCGCCATCGCCGTCCACCTGTGTGCCGACACACGCGCAGGGGTCACAGACGGGCTGCGGGGAGAGTGTGCGCGCTGGGGGCCCTGCGACAGACTGACAGGCTGAGGGCCAGCAAGGAGAAACAAGCTCCTTTACGGAACCAGGTGGTGTTCAGCTACTTTCAGAGCTGGAATCAGAGCACCCACACCACACCACCTGCCATTCCGCGAACATTATTTTAAGATAAGATAAGATCACTTTATTAGCCACATACAATTTCTTGCATTAGGAATTTGTCTTTTCGCAGACCCCAGCTTGCTCTCCATGAGACACACAGACAGGGAGAGAAGCTGGGGGTCAGACCGCAGGGTCAGCTATTGTACAGCACTGCTGGAACAGTTGGGGTGAAGGGCCTTGCTCAGGGGCCCAACAGAGTAGGATTCCTCTGCCAGCCGCAGGATTTGAACTGGCAACCTTCCAGCCACAGGCGCAGATCCTGTGCCACAGTGTCACTGCCCAGCCCCTTTAACAGGTTAAAAAGTTCATTCTCTTTGTACACGAGAAGAATTCTGCTGCTTTGAATTACCATTGTTTTTTTACATTCAACAACTTTAACATCTCATTAATGTTGATCATAGCGCATTCAGGAATACAGGGCCAAAAGGTATACGGTTTTTTTTTCTTTTCGCGACGATCCAGAGAAAGTACGGTTATGACAGTGCGGTTACGTCATCCCCAGACTATAGCTTTTCTTTTTTTATTATAAGCGGCAACTTTTTCAGATGGTTTCCCCCCCGTGACACTCACCGTTACCGTTCCAGCTCCGTATGAAGGACTCGATGAAATACCGACTTCGTAAACACAGCTGAATAGGAAGAGACGGTCTGATCTAGTTCGGTGACGCCGGGCTCTCCTGGACTCTAACCCCTCTCTCCCAAGTCCTTTCCCCGCCCGCTGCCTCTCCCTCTCCTAAGCTCCCTCACATGGCTCTGACCCTAACTGCGTGCACTTCCTGGCTCCGCAGCAGCACGGGACACTGATGTCAATACCGCAGCGGCCGTCCGCCATGTTTTAGGAGGGCGAGTGATCGTGTAGAGCTGAGACTGCCGCTTGACAGCTGAGCACACAAATAAGAGAAGTTTGGGAGGGAATCGCTGGTGTTATGTACGCACTGGGAAAATACATGTATTTTCTGCGTTCCTCCGAGCGATTCTTCCTCGATGGCGTTGTGCGAACACAGTATTTAACACGAATGCTGTAACACAAATGCCATTTAAATGTTAAAAGGGTATTTAAACGATCCTTTAAAAAAAGACCGAGGATTCTAACAGTGGGATGTACGGAGCCCGGGAGGGGCCATCAGTAGGAAAAAAGTTATATCGAGGGAACGATTTACAATTCGTGCCCACGAGATAATCAATTCATTCCTACGATTTACAGTTCGTGCGCACGGAATATCTAAATCGTCCCTTCGCTTTCTTTCATTCGTGCGCACTATAATACCCTTTCCTTCGTTTTCTTTGTGTCACGATAGTCGCGCATAGAAAGTTTCTAAAATGCCCGCATTATCCCCGGCTCCTAGCAAACGCCGCTATCAAACGCTAGTTAACACGTGACCGCGTCTTGATCTACATGTTAGTATGTTAGAAACTGTTACTTTTTTTTCTATATTGAATTAATGGCTGTTGGGCCCCCTAATAAATAAAATAACACTCTCGACGGGGAGCCCTGGATGAAAAGGAACATTTTCTCATTTTAAAACGAAAACTGCGGATCTCCACCTTAAGCCCTGCCGGACAGCCGCTTATTTTATCTGTTCCTTCTTTCGTTCTTTGTGGGAACCCAGGGACACTCTGATGTGAACCGCCGCTGTAAAGGCAGAGAGCAACACAGGTGTGATTCTGGCGTCTTGCTGTCTGCCGCTTTGGCAGTGTTACAGCACCCTCTGCCGGTCAGACCTTAACACTTGAGACCTGGTAACCTCCTCGCCCAGGTTGAGAGATTCCTGATCGCAAGTACACTGAAGTCGTCTTCCATCCCTGTTCCCCGGGTCTTTGTGTATTTTACAAAAACTTTCAGCAACTGGCTCAAAATTAGATTAATATAGTTGTATTCAGTAGCTGCATAACTGAGCTGGAATGAAAATGCTGTAGTTCTGACTGCTGCCTGGTACCTAGAGGATCTGTGGGCAGTTAGACACAGCATGGAAAAGAGGGCAGTTATGGTTAGTGCTCTGCCTGCTCTGCAAAATCCAGAGCCCTCCCATGTCACACCAGCCCTCTGGCACTGAGAGTGCAGCCTCAGTAAGAACGGAGGGAGACAGCAGCGTCCGCGCTGGCTGAGGAGACGACAGGCTGCGCTGCGTGGAAAGTTCTCTTATCTATGTGGGGCGGAATTTGCATGTCGTCACCTGCGCGCGCTTTTACTAGAAACAAACGGCACCTTCGGTTCCTGAGAGAAAGGAAACCAGCTCGCTTCAAACTGCTTGTGGTGCAGCATGACCTGCTGCGACCGACACACAGCCGGTTCGCTGGAGAGATGCTCCGTTCCCAGGCTGACTGCAGTGCCTGGAGAACACATGCCCCTGCCTGTGCAAGTCTGCTGGTCAGAGTATGAATCAATACAGTGTTACAGCACAGGCACCTGCCACCGTTGTCGGTGCACTCGACGGCGGCACTGAAACCTCCTTCTTTGCTTTGAACGTAATCCCATTTGCTAGGCGTTAGTGCTTTCGCTGCTTCTGCTTTGCATCGGGTCGGGTTTGAACCCAATTCTGTTCTGTTTAAAGAAATGTCTTTCACCGCAAACATCCACGCATAATGCTCTTGGTGCCTGGTTCTGATGTTTGAGAGCCTTGAGCTTGAATTGAGCTGAGCACGTCTCTAATGGAAACCAAGAGAGTCATGTAATAATAATAATAATTGCTTACACTTATATAGCTCTTTTCCGGACACTTCACTCAAAGCGCCTTACAGGTAATGGTGACTCCCCTCCACCACCACCAGTGTGCAGCCCCACCTGGAAGATGCAACAGCAGCCAGAGTGCACCAGTACTCTCCCCATACACCAGCTCTCAGTGGGAGGAGAGCAGAGTGATGAAGCCAGTTCAGAGATGGGGATTATTAGGAGGCCATGATTGGTAAAGGCCAGGGGGAAATTTGGCCAGGACACCGGGGTTACACCCCTACTCTTTTAGAGAAACGCCCTGGGATTTTTAATGACCACAGAGAGTCAGGGCCTCGGTTTTACGTCTCATCCGAAGGACGGCTTCATAGCTAGACGACACTCTGTGAGAGGCCTCAGTAAAGTTTGACTGTCTCATCAGGCAGGGTTCCTAAAGGGGCCGGCACAGCTCTGATCCAGGTCGGGGGCCGTGAGCACTGACTGCCATCATCGGCAACCCCAGCACAAGCTTGTTTGTTCTCCTTTGTCTCACAGTTTGTCTGAAATGCTCTATAAACCCTGGCTCTCCAGGACCAGGCCTGCAGACTTCACTCAAGATCTACTGCTTGAGCTCATTCTCTTTCTAAAGCGTGGTCTTGGCTTTAAACACACCTGTGACTGACCAGTGTGTTCTACAGAAATGTACAGCCTCTCACCTGATCACTACAACACGCACCTGAAGGGTTTGTCCCTGTGGAGCGGTGGTGAAGCCGTTCTGATTGCTTTTCCCTACTCCTCCCCGGTTCATATGGAAATCAGGAGGCTAAGTCATCATTCATTGCCAAATGTATTAATTCCTCATTCAAAGCGTTACCGTACATTAGTAAACAGTTTCCATTTAGAGGCAGTGTTAACCTTTTTAGCTGCAGGGACAATCTGCACCTTTTAAAAACAAGTACGGTGAAGACAAATGACTGTGATGGTGATGCAGATATTTATCGGGTTGTGTGCATTACATTCATGTCAAGTTAGCAATTTCTTGTCCTTGATCTGAGACGTAACTGTACTTCCCCCTTCCTTTATGGTTATTTATATTGCATTGACATTTTAATTTTGCTGCATAGAATAATGCAAAATCTTCACACCTCAAACATTGCAACTGTTCCTATACAGATGGAAGAAGATGTATACTGTAGAGACACAAACAACAATATAAACTGTAGATAATAGAGTTATAGATGTAGAGGCAGGTAGAGATGGAGAGAGCAGTTTTAGAGTAGAATATTATTACTACTGTACATAAACTATTATCTATTATATTAGTATATGAAAGATTCATAACTGCACTATGTTTACATGAAAAAATAATGCAATTCAGCTTTATACAATATCTGTGTTTGTCAATATAAAACTACCATACAAAGGCACACTATCTATCATAGGCTGTTTCTTAATGATCCATCCTCATACAAAGTGTGACTTGGGAAGAAGGCCTTTTTATACTCAAATCAGGGAGTACTGGGGAAAAAGCCACTGAGACCAGGTCCACTCCATTTAAAAACAGCCACAGAAATCCGATAGTTTGCTACAGTCCCAGAGCTGTGTACAGGGGCGTCTTGGTCAATGTAGCTTGGTCAATGGAGGGAGAATTGTTATTACCAAATTCTACATGCCCAATCACTAACCCTCTCAGTTTTTCCAAAAAACCTTTGGCTAGGGATTTTGCTTCCATCCTTTTGAGTTCCCAAATCCCTTGTAAAAACCTCTAAGTCCTGTTACGTGCACAAGGAAGCACAACTGTTTAAAGAACACCAGTCTGTACATGACACCACTCCCAATGGTCACCACAGTCTTGCCACTCTCGGAGAGCCAGGTGCTGGGAAGCCAGCTCTGCTGTGCTAAAAGGCAGGAGGCGGTGCTTCAAGAACTTAAGTGCCTTCTGGAGAAAGCAGCTTCACTTTGTCCCACTCCATCATCTAGCACCCTGACCCATCAACATGCTTTGCCCTGAAGCCCCAGCCCTTCCGTTTCTGGTATGACGCAACTCCCAGGAGCCCCAGGCAACTCCCGCTTGGGTGTGGGCATGGGCAGTGAGGTGGCACCATGCTTCTGGAGGTTGGCCTTGCCCTTTTCTGGCTGCACCTCCCCAAGAAGGTAGTAGGTCTTGTGAAAGGGGTGGGGGCTGCTGAACAGGTGGGACACCGCCGAGAGGTGCCCCTCCTGCTCCCCCTGCCCAGGCCTCCCGTTGTAGTAGTCGGCGTTGATCATGATGTAATAATTGGAGTTGTGGCTGTTGATCGAGGGCTGGCTCTGCAGTGGCAGGTGAAGAGGCTCTTCTGAGTCCTGCACAGATACAATATTGAGAAACCATTCCCTGTACACTGTGATTGTAAGACCGTTACACCTCACCCTGACCTCCGCCTCTTTCCCTGCGTTTATCTCTTTACACCCCTCCCTTCTCTCCTGTGGGATGTGCTAGATGAGATGGGCCTGTTTTGCATGTTTTGCCTTTTCCCTGGCAGCTTGATCCACTTAACAGGGGGCTTTAACCTAGACCAGGGCTCATTCAAGCAGTAGTAATCTCTGTTTGCCAAGAATCCTCATCCACGTAACAGCTCCATGTGAGGGTTAAGGAATCATCTGCTGAAGTACTGTACACCATAGGGTAAAGGGCTTCTGCTGTTGAGCTTCTGTTTGTAACCCTGTAGTGTTGCTGCTGTGACATCACCTATTTATAACTCCACCATGCTTGGCCTTGGCCTAATCAAGACCATAGCACAGCCCACGTTCTAATGCTGGAGTCGTGAACACTCCCATCGTTAGCTTTGCAGAGATATCGGTTTTTAATAGAATGGGTTGAGGAAGCTAAAAATAATAATGCATAAATCTATGGCCAGTTCGTGTTGTTTTTAAAAGTGTGGTTAAGTCGATTTGTACTCTACGGTGTATGAGCAGGCATACGCAGACAGCACTGTGCAGGAAACTTCAACCTCAAAAAAACCTTCGTGGTTCTAGAGCAGGTCTGCTGTGCAGTTGAGCCACAAACAGTGTTTCATCAACTGCCTACCTGCAGTTAGCAATGCACAAGAAGCTGATTAACTCCCTTCAGCACGGCATCAAATACAATGTGAAAAATGCATTACCAGCTCTTTCCTATTAATTAACCATTTATGCGAGCATAGATATGCATAAATAGCAACAAAGATGAAGACAGTGATACAGGCCTGATGTGAAATAGCACCTCTGGGGCTTTCCAAAAATGTGCGTATCATGTAAGTGGTAACCAAGGCAATAGAGGGTCAATACAAAGCACCTTGACTCAATGAAAACCACAAGACATCAGCTCCTTTATCTGCTGGCTCCTGGGCTCTCTGGGTTGGGTGATTGAATGTTTATGCATTTGCTTTAGAATTATTACTCAATATTTATATACATCTAAAACAATTTTGGTATAATGTGGCAAAGAACTCGATTGTATGGATAGAAACCCCCTATGTTGGCATAAAGAAAGTCAGCCCCAACTGTAACACAGTGTGATTGGATGTGATTGACCAGGGTATCAGGGATTGTCTCTGTCCCTGTATGCGGACCCATCACCCGGAAGCAGAACTGGCTCAGTCTCACAGCTCTCTGGGTTAACAGGCACGGTTAGGGTGGTCACAGCTCTGAAACTGTGATTTCATTTTTCTTTACACGAGAAACAGGTTAAAAGGTTGTGCTGTGTATCAGAAGGAGGTCTAACCCTGGTCTTCACCAGGTTGTAGGTAAGATATCTGGTGAACTTAAATCATTTTGGACACAGTCTGTGAATACTGACTTCAGTTGTTGTGTAGTCTGCTGTAGAGATGCACAGTGCTGTGCAAGCAGCCGTGAGATATGTAAGTCAATTTCACTTACAATATAAATTTGTGCTGACTGCTGCTGGAGAGGGAGGTGAGAATACTTATGTCTGCGACTCCACAGTAGTTCATTTATGTTGTTTAAAGTACAATTCCGAAAAAGGGCAGCATGTCAACAGAGCCCACATCCATGCTGTCTCACAGCTGTGGGTGCCTGGGTTCGACTGTTTTGTGAAGAGTTTGCTTGTGCTTCCCATGTGCAGGTGGGTTTTCTAGTTTCCCCCACCTTCCAAAGACATGCTAGGTTGATTGCCCTTCATGTGCATGTGCATGTGTCCTGTGACAGACTGATGTCTTGTCCAGGGAATAATCCTGTCTCACAGCCCGTATTCCAGGATAGGCTCCAGATCGCTCCATCGATTACCTCCATGGATTAAGATGGTTTTGATAACGGATGGGCTAAACACTTTTTTCAATATTTAAGTGCTGTTACCCTAAGATGGTTAGGAATGAAACCTACGAAGAATCAATAGCTGTGAATTGGCAATGCTTAATCTGAAGTCACTAGGGAAAAACAAGCTTAGGAAGATTTGGGATCCCTCGGGAAAAAGGCTTGATGAGCTTTTGGGATCAGTAAGTATTAGACTGCCAAATAAGAAAGAGCAGAATGATCTGGAAGCTTCATGTTTACAACTTTAATTTTCTGATACAGAGGAGGTTGTCACTGCCAGTAACCTAACACCTTTTTTTTTTTAGATTTAAAGTGCAAACCAAAGCAGATTCGCAACACCACGCTGGTTTGATCTCTTGCTGCTTGTTTTCTTTATTAGAGTGACTGATCTCAGCGGAAACCAAAAATAACCTTAGAGAGCTCTGCTAGGGTGAGGCTGTCAGGTACAGCACTGACCCTGCCAGCCACACTCAGGGCCACAATAACAGGAAGTAATCTTTTGTTTTCGCACTCCACTGCTGCCAGATCTTAAGTTTGCGTTCTGGACAAGGTGCTTCAGCTGATACTGATGGAAGCCTTCAGCCAACTGCTGGGGGAGAGATCCTTGTGTCAGTGAGCCACTAGGCATTTCTCTCCTAATGAGTCTTCCTGTTCTTTTCTGTGAGCGGCCTCAGTAAGGCTCGACTGTCTCATCAGGCAGGGTTCCTAAAGGGGCCGGCGCAGCTCTGATCCAGGTCGAAGGGCCGTGAGCACTGACTGCCATCATCGGCAGCCCCAGCACAAGCTTGTTTGTTCTCCTTTGTCTCACAGTTTGTCTGAAATGCTCTATAAACCCTGGCTCTCCAGGACCAGGCCTGCAGACTTCACTCAAGATCTACTGCTTGAGCTCATTCTCTTTCTAAAGCGTGGTCTTGGCTTTAAACACACCTGTGACTGACCAGTGTGTTCTACAGAAATGTGCAGCCCCTCGCCTGATCACTACAACACACACCTGAAGGGTTTGTCCCTGTGGAGCGGTGGTGAAGCCGTTCTGATTGTGCATGGTTTATCATTATAGCCTTTTCTTAATAATTCAAACCTTTTCCATTAAACCCTTTAACGGCATCTTTTCAGACCTTTCAAAAAGAAGTCATGCAACCTCAGCTACAGAGACAAATCAGTGCAGTTAAATTTAATCTCTTTAACTGAAATCTCACATGCAGCGGATGTTCACACTCTCAGGAGCATGTCTTGTTGTGCTGTGATGAAATGCAGTGCAGAAAATTGCACTTTGCTCTTACTTTTTGAATTACCCCGCATCGCACGATGCAAGATGACAATGTCCTGCACTGTTCTGTGGTGTATTACTGTGCATTATTGCGTTCTGCCTGGATGAGCTGCGGTAGTCTATGCTATCAGATCACTTACCTCTAAGTCCTCTATGCTGATTGACTGCTGGACATTGAATACTCTTCTCCTGAAAGACAGCAACAACAGCAGAGTGTTTGTTTGGGCTAGAAGAAAGCCTGATTTGATCTAATGCTGCATTCTTCAACCATTTTCTCAGGAGATCGTTTAAGAGATATTACAAACTTTCAGCTGCATTTTACTCTCATTCGCCTTATTTTCCATCCAGCTCTGTTGTGGCTTAAACAACTGTGCTTAGCTATACTGCGGCAATAGTAGGTTTTATTACAGTAAGAGCCTGTCAGGTTTGTCCAATAACATTTTTAGAAATTGTAGACTAATTTTAAAATAACGGTCAATGATTATAATTTTGTGCTAGGGTGCCTAATAACACTTTGAATGGTTTATTAGCTGAAAAGTTAAAAAAACACACAAACTCTATCAGCTAGGGTAATCATTTAATTAACCCTGTGGATATTAAAGCCTATTGTGATGGAAATTAAAACAGAAGTCAGAAAAACAGCAACATACCAGGACTGTGTATTAGGTTATGATGGAGGTAAAAGTGGTTTTAAATTGAAAGGATGAGGGCTAAGATACAGTTTGAAAGTTTTGGATTAGCATTAGAATTCTTTACTGTGCTTAAATGAACCTCAGTACATAGCAGTGACACTGGCAGGGACACCATTGGATCACCAGTAGGACCCCAAAAGTTTTCTCCTCTGTGTGCACAGGGACCAACCTGGAGTTACAGCTTCTCCTGTAGGCGATGACAGTGATCATCAGTAACGCCACGCAGGGGACCGCGGCAATGCCGGCCAGCACCAGCCACCCTCCCGTCACGTTCTCTTCATCCCCCAGGCGGGCCTCAACTGGGTAGGGAGAGACAGTGCATGTCATCATCAGATCTCAGTACCCATACAGACAGATAGAACATGTCAGATCTCACTACCCATACAGACAGATAGAGCATGCCATTGTCAGATCTCACTACCCATACAGATGGATAGAGCACGCCATCGTCAGATCTCACTACCCAT